CATTTGGGACCATAATAAGGTTTAGCCCAGTTGTGGGGGTGGCAGCTTGCCGGCCAGATCGACCAAGAACCAACTTCTTCCGGTTCCACATATATAAGCCTGGTTGTGAAAATTTTAGCATACAGCTGTAATTTCAAATAGAATAATAGGGTGCTGTTGTGAGATATGGAGGATGAGTAATTAGTGGTGATAAACTATGTCACATTTATTGGGTTAGATTTAGTATCTCTTTCTTGGATCCCCCTCTGGCCTCTGCCACGGTATTAAGTATTGAAATTTGAAACCTTTGGCGCATTAATTCCGAGCTCCCACTCACTCAATCAAATATAAGAAAATATAAATCCTGAGTGCAGACTGCAGAGGAGGGGACCGAAGGAATATTGCTAGTCTGTGCATGCTGTTCCTGTTTAACCCATCTGCTTTCATATTAACCACTATTATATTACATTCTAAGCATTTTCCTTTTTAAATGATAAACATCCCCAAGCAAATTAGATAAATGAATTCTTCTCTACTCTATATTGCATTACTTGATGTTTGTCGTTATAACTACAGCAACCCTTGTGAGTTGTGAGTTGTTGCTTCTTTCTCATTTTTACCCTAAAACGATGTAGGCCAACTCCGTGCCTCTAGCTAGCTGATACTGATATGGCTAGCCCAGAAATTAAATTAAAACAGCGTGTCTCATGGTGTATCAGTCAATAGATGGTGTTATAGATACAGCAATTAATATCAGTTTGATTTTTTTTTCTCTTCTCTTCTCCTTTCTTTTCAATTTTAAATTAATATAAAATTTTGGAGTTGCACGAGTGGTTGGTTCTTCCAGAATCTATAAGATTCATGCATGCTCTCACCTAAATCCATACTTCTGACTTTTGGATTAACTACAACTGTTAATGTACAAGAGCAACAAGAGTGCATTGACTTGGAGAAATTGGATGAGGTATGCTTCTCAAGCATTTCCTGCTGGTCCTGAACTCCTTATTACTCCATATCTTTTAAATACGTCTTTCTTCCCACCATGAGACACGTTATGTTGCCTTTGCTTGTCAATGTAGATAACCAACTATTGTGAGATGTTGTTTCCTGGTGGGTTTCCTAGTTTTTGGCGCTCTCTCTCTCTCTCTCAGAGATGCACCCCACCCCAGTGATTGACTTAAAAGAGAAAATAATTAGGCTGTCTCATTGATACCATGCCACCGTTTTTCAAAGAGTTCAAACAAGGATTAATTCCAGACTGTCCCAACGACTGATGAAGTTAATTGTTTTGTTCTTAATTTTACTGTCTCACCTCACGGGTGGCGCTTTGAAAATCCAACTCACTCTCTCCTGATCCAAAATTTTTTCAGCTATTGATTTCTTGGTGTTTGGACATTGCATTGAATGCATAACATTATCTCAAGTATATTAAGTGAATATCACCGCTCTATTTCTCTTAAATATTCTTACCAAGTAGATAAGAGTAGAGAACCTTAATTGGTGGGGCAGATTAATTTCTTCATGACACCCTTGAAGTTGAAGGGGAAAGGTTACTCTCAGACATTAATGCCTTGTGTGTCCGGTGAATTCCTTTTGACTGTAAGGGATAAGAACAAATTTCTTTCATAAATGCGATGCACAAATAGTAATTTTATTATCCCACCAAGTACAACACAGGTGGATGGGGAGACCATCCCCTCCAAGCTCCAGCTTGCTAGAGCCTATAATTAAAAATTCCCTTCACACCCATCAAGTGTTGAAAATAAACCAAGGAAAAGTCTTTCTTTTCTTTCAGACTTCTTTCTCAAAGCCTAAAAGTCAACACGCATGGCATGGGCAGGTCCATCAAAGATCAAACTGCTAGCTACTAGTACTAGGAGTAGCTACTCCAAATTTAACTTCTGTTGGGAGGGAGTTTTTCAAAGTATTATTTCGCATTTACATTAAAATTTTGAGACGTTTTATTACCTCACTGAACCAGAACTTTCTTGTTAAAGGATTAATTGTTAGGAAATTGGGGTCATTGAAACTTAGAGGAAAAGTTTTGAGTCTGTATTTGAAGATTGTCTTTACTCAGTTTTATTCTTTTTGTTATTGGGTTACAAGTAAATTCGTTCTTAAAATACAACAGTCTTGAGTGAGAGATTGTAGCCGGTAAAGTTGAAGAGTCTTCGAATAAGCCTTTTATGAGACATTAGCAAATTGGACTGAGAGAGACAGGAGTGATTTCGAAAACTTATGTGTACATTTGTTTGATTCACACTCCTTAAATAATCTTTGAAGAACCATGTAACAAAGAAATGTGCTAGTTCAGAAAATGCTCTTATTGTGATTGTTAAAAAAATATTTAACAATAAATGACTGTTAACTTTGAATAGTGCCTCTTGATTACACCTGATTGAACTGTGACCATTGAATCAACGGTTAGCCTTGCACCAAAAGTCAAAATTGCCTTTACTAGTCATGTGGGTGCAAGCGCCTCATTGTGCCACACACACGTGCGTGTGAGTTGTGCGCTAGTAAGCCTCCATACTGTCCTCTTTATTTCTAAGGGGTGTAAATAAACTCTTATTTAAAAATTTAAAGCAACTTTTATAATTTTCTAATATAGGACAAGTTGAAAACTGGTTTTAGTAAGAGAGAAAACTAATTTTCAAGACATATGTGCAGATGTATTTTTCATATAATTGATCAATCAAATCCCAATAACCTTAATTTCTAATGAGATTAAAATCCAACATTAAACCCCACTTCCCCGTACCAGAATTTCCTTGATTGATTTCATTAGGGATTTTCTTATTTTCGCCTCATACTGGACTCAAGATCTCAATTCACATGAAACTCTTAACCACATCTCTTTTTTCTTTAACGTCATAGTCAAATCTCTCTTCATCATCCCCTTACTAAATATGCTATATTCACTACCGAAGTAATATTCTAGGAGCTAAAATGTTTGCATCTTTCATCTTTGTACTTGAGAAATAGAACAAAATTCAACATCTAGCTAGCTGCAACACATGCAGCAAAGCACGGAGAGTCTCAGTTAAGTCACCCTGGTTTATTGTCCTTCTCGAGGGTCCATAATATTTGCAGTAAGTTAGTAGGCAGGAATGCAGGACCGCCTGCCAGATTCCTACAATCAGGTCTGCTGTGAGCCAGTTACCTGTGAACATCTTCTGCACCTCAACCACGGAAAATGGGTTGGCCCTGGTTTGGTTTCAAGTGTCTGAAATTTTCCAAAATGTTGTTAAAAATTATGGAATTTTAGAATATCCATTTATTAATTTGTCCTACAATTTTAGAATATTATTAAAATAATATTAATATATTTTTAAATTACTAAAAGTAGTACTATTTATAACATAATCATATTTTCAGAAAAAGAAAAAAAGAAAAAAAAAACTGGAATTCCAAAACCTTAGGCAGAAAGTAATCAACAATAGTCCCTTGTTTTTCAGTGCTTTTTTTGTGTAGTATACAAGGGTGAAGAACTTACAATTACAGACAAGTCATGGCCTTTGACTCTTGCTTATAGAGTTATGGGTATCAAGATGACAGGGGTCATCTTCAGATAAGGTTAAGGATTGGGATGGCAACGAGCTGAATTTTTCATGAATTGTTTGAGTTCGGTTCGACTAGGTTTCAACCAAGCTTGAGCCCAATTCATTGGCTCGATCATCAAACAAGCCAAGTTCGAGCCTATTAGAGATCAGCTCATGAAGCTTGTGAGCCAGCTCGAATATATATTTATATACATATATATGTATTTGATATTCAATATATATATATATAATAATATTATAGAAAATAATATATATATAATAAAAATATTATAATTATTAATTATTATAATTCTTAATTTTTTAAATATCAAATAAAAAATATTTTTATATATAATTTTTTATTTTTATAAAATACTTTTTCTTAAAATCGAGCTCGAGCCGAACCGAGCCAAGCTCGAACTTATAAATTTTTTACTCGAACCAAACTCAAGTTCAAAATTCTGGCTCGAACCGAATTCGAGTTCGAGCTCAAGCCTTATAGAACAGTCTCGAGCTCGAACCTTGTAAAACAGTCTCAAACCGAGAATCCACCCCCAGATTGCCAAATGAAATTTATAAAAGTTTAAGAGATGGGATCATTATGCTCTTTGCCTGAAAGAAGCTCAGTAGGAGAGTCGGCCTCGGCCTGGTCTATCTCTTCCCCTATCTCAACCTTGCACAAATAATGAGATTGAATTATTCAAATCCAAATTCCAAAACCATATGACGGGTTGGATTGGCTCCTTGCATTATTAGGTGGGTTTGAAAAATGACACACAACTACACCAGAACAAGATGCAGGAGTCCAAAGAAGAAGAGTTCATTTTTCTACGGCCCACAGGCCCATTTCTTTTGGTAAAAATACCTGTAGGCCCACCTGGGTATACGTACGGAAAGCTTTGTCACGTATTTTGTGCGTGTGTCAGTGTGGCGTGTTTATGCAGTGTTAACATACATGAAATGCCATCATGAGGTTAAGGCAATAAAGTAAAGGGAAAAATGAAAAAGAAAAAGGATACGCTAAACAAAAGATAATGGTCGCTTAAACAATACAGATAATTTCAGATTAATTATTCATTAAGAAATTTATGGAAATCTTTAAGTTAAGAGATATAATAAAAGAAAGAACAAAGCCCAACGATACCTACTATCATTTAATTAAACCAGCCTTAATAATAATGCAAAAGAGACGCCCAGAGAAATTGCATAGGAAGCTGCCTGCCCTGCCTCAAATACTCCCAAGCAAATCAGCAGCAAAACCGAGAGTCTGCAAATCTCCAAGCAAAAGAACTAAAATAACAAGGTCGGCTCGCCACATGTCTCCTTCTCATCTCATCTCTCCGAATCCCCGAGACTCCTCTTTTTTACTCCTTTTTTTTTCTCTCTTCTTTCATTAAGGAAGCACTCCAGAAAGTGAGATAAAGCTACCCAAGGAGTCCCACTTGTCCAGTTCATGCACCTAAAGCAACTATATATATATATATATCATGCCCTCACAGACCGTCTTATCAACACAAACCAAAGCTGTTCACCACCCTCCCACTCCCTCCTCACTCTCTATTTCTATTTTGAATCTCAAAAAGTATCCGTTTCTTTCTACCTGAAGATGGCTTCCTCTCAATCTATCAAAACAGCCCTACTTCTTGTTGTTCTTGTTCATCTAAGCTTTGCCAATCTGTGCTATGGAGCCAGAAGGCTAACAGCGCTTTACCAACCACCACCCATGGTTTTAGCGTACCACATGGGAGCTTTACTTGAAGGAGAGCTCCCCGTCTCTATTCTCTGGTACGGTAAGTTCACCCCAGCTCAGAAATCCATTGTTGCAGACTTTCTGGTCTCTCTCACCCCACAACAACAGAAGCTTTCCTCGTCAACGTTGACAGCACCATCGGTTTCCCAGTGGTGGAAACCCATTGAAACCTACATGAAAGATGCCGGGAAGAAGGGGACTCGGATCGTCTTATCTGACCAAATTACCGACGAGAGCTACTCCATGGGCAAAACCTTAAAGAGATCCCAGATATCCCAGTTAGCCCAGAAAGCCTCTTCAAAACAACCGGGTCGTCTCGTACTTGTCCTGACGGCGAAGGACGTTGCGTTAGAGGGCTTCTGTATGAGCAGCTGCGGGTTCCACGGCTCAGACTCGAAGAAGAAGTCGGCGTTCATCTGGGTAGGCAACTCGGAGACACAATGCCCGGGTCAATGCGCGTGGCCGTTCCACCAGCCAATCTACGGTCCTCAAACGCCACCCCTGGGCGCTCCCAATGGGGACGTCGGCTTGGATGGCATGGTTATAAACATTGCCACACTTCTGGCCGGAACAGTAACCAACCCATTCGGGAACGGTTACTTCCAGGGCTCCGCCGATGCACCTGTGGAAGCGGCCTCGGCTTGTCCGGGTGTATATGGTAAGGGGGCTTATCAGGGTTACGCTGGGGACTTGTTGCTGGATCCGAGCACGGGTGCAAGTTACAATGCGCAGGGTGCCAACGGGAGGAAATATCTGTTACCGGCCATGTTTGACCCTTGTACCTCTTCTTGTTCCACCATCGTGTGATTTGTTGACTAATGACCCATAGAGTGGCACACTTGTGTCCAGGTGCAGCCTTGTTGTACATATATAAAGCCAAATCGTGTATATTAATGTATCATTTGTTTTCCGAATCCGTTTTCAATTCGAGATATTACCCAAACCCGACCCGTTGAGGCGATAAAATAGAATGATTACAGGCAATATAAGAACTCCTTAGAATGTGGACAAAGTGGATCCCTTTAAAACGAATAACCCCTGGGCGAACTCTAGGATTATTATTGAAGGAGATCAAAAGCTGATTATTGATTGATTGCCAGGAAGAAGACTCAACCTTCACTATGGAACTTTATAAATGAAAATGAATGTTTTGAGAGGAAGGCTCAGCAACACTTTTTGTGCATGATGTATACAGATGGCAAAGTAAAATCTGCTGACTAGTTCGCAAATGAAGGTCTGAAGTCCGAGTCATTATTCTTGACTAGTTGAAAATTCAAGGCTGGTGAATGATAATTCAGGGCACCTGCTGGAAATCTTTAGGACCCAACTGGTGAATGATAATTCAGGGCACCTGCTGGAAATCTTTAGGACCCAACTATGGTCCTGACTCCTGACCTGAAACTACACGGGCTTGTCTGTTTCCAACTTTAAAACCTTATTATAGAAAGTGGCCTATCCTTAAAACTCCAATCATGGGCTATCGTTTAGTGGGCCTACGTAGTGAATGGATAGGCCCAGTAAACGTATCGTAGCGAAAGTATAATGTGTTGGTGAAGGGGCACGTGCATCAACATTGTCAGAAATATTGATGGGGGTTTTATATAATAAATTTTCGAGTTTGGGGACTTTGGGCGTTAAAAGATAGGTCTATGTTTCGAAGGGCGTCACGGACTCACGGATAACAATTAACAACTGCGAGTCTGAGATGGTGTGGAACTGTGGATACAGAATTTGGACTCGCAACCGTAAACGTAATAGATTGTAGCGTGTCAATGAGAATAACATTTACACGTTGACCTCTTTGAAAGACAGGGATGAGGATGGGAAGGTGGAGATCTATTCGCTTGAACAAACCAGGTAGAGGACAGAAGAAATAGGACAAATTGGGCTGCAACTTTCCGTTTTCTTAATTTCTCCTTTCTTCAAAGTGTCTATTTAATTTCATTTGCTTAGGATGATCTGTTGGCTGTTGCAGCGGTGTTGACTGGGTTAATTGTGGGTGGATCACTACCCATATATCTTCCATGCAAATGGGTGATGGATTTATAGGCCCAACGCCCAATGGGTGGGCCGTAGTCCAATCTACATTCACCCACCCAATTTTCACTTTGGCTTAGTTTGAACGTGCAATTTGGACCCATCATGTTCTAACCCAATATGATCTGTCGTTCTCTCAATTCAGGATCAAGCCAGGTACTACTCAATGTAAAGAAACTCCATGGGTCCGGGGCCCAGAGAAATTAACACATCTTGTGGCTTCAAACCATTGGGCCAACTAGTATGGATTTTATAGGCCAACGTAAACATTAGTTATAGCGTTGTCTTCGGTTCTTACACCGTCTTAGACTTTGAGGCAAGCCCACTGCACTGCCCACGTCGAAGTGGAAGATGGAATGTTAGATTTAGGTTTAGAAAATCAACGGTAGGTAAAAATGTTTAAGTAGGGCCCAACACTACAGAACAACCCTAAGTAGGCATTACGTTTAGGAAATCAACGGTAGGTAAAACTGTTTAAGTAAGCTGTAGGTCCAACTGGCTCTCGTACCGGCTGAGAAGTTTTCTTCAGAAGGCAGAGACCCGTCACCTTGCGTTATCGAGACAGGATCTGCTCCACACACAGGGCGCCTCACACCGACCTCACACGCATCATATCATGCATTGGGAACATCTCCCCTACTTAAAAAAGTTACTATCCACGGGAGATTTTTCAATTCACGGTGGATGTCCCTGTGAGGCGCCCATTTGTGCGGAGCAGACCCTGTTCCTGCATATAACCTACGTGCGGGTAAATGGTAATGGTACTCGCTCTTTCGATTGGACCACGTGGGTGAATGTCAGTGGCTATTCCTGCATGGCGTATTATGTGTTGATTCAGTACTAAGCAAGATTTAAATATGGATGTATGGTATTGTATTGGTTGACAACAGTACGGGATACAATTGTTTGTATCTAGGGATGGCAATTTTCCCCATTTCCCCAATTCCCGTGGGGATCCACCCCAAATGGGGCGGGAATGGGAAAATTTTCATCTCCGTTAGCGGGGACGGATCGGGGATGAGGAGAGCACTCCCTGCCTTGTGGGGACCCCATTCCCCACCCCGTTGGATCCCCACTAATATATATGTATATATGTATGCATACGTTATACATATATTGGTTGAATATGTTTGAATCTTTTCTAATAGGACTATAAATTTGAATTATTTTATAAAAAATCATGGGGAATGGGGATCCCCGTGGGGATGGGGATGGGAATGGGAATAACCTTGTCCCAGTTAATGGGGCGGGGACGGGGATGGGGAGAGCCCCTGCCCCGTTGCCATTCCTATTTGTATCTCGTAATTTGCTTGTGTCGCACCAACGGATGCGTATCGACATGTATCACCACACTCTAAACCATCAAATTAGGCTTTATGCTGTGTTATTTAATAGAATAAAATAAATTTTATTATGTTTTGTGTTGACATACAATTTAAACAGAAATCATGTGTTTATATTTAACAATTCTAACTATTCCAAGCAATAATATTCAAAAAATAGTACTTTATAAATTAATAGAACAAATAATCTATCAAGTCCGTATTTATATAAAAAGATGATTTTTAATATCAATAAAATATTAATAATAAAATAATTATTTTAATATTTAAATTGCACATGATATGCATTTTAAATTTTTTATATATTTTTAAAAATTATTAATTGATATTTTAATTTACATTAATAAGTAATAACAACATATTTATTATTTATAAAAAATAAAAATATTTTTTAAATAGTATAGTATTAAATTGAATCTATCAAATTCACTAATCTATATTTATTTCAAAAAATGATTTTTTATTTCGAATTATTTATAGAAATTAAAATACTAACAATGGGATAATTATTTTAGTATTAACAATTATGAATTTGTATAGGATATGTATCTTAGAAATTTTAATAGATTTGATATACTTTAAGTTAATTTTATATTTTTGTGAATTATTAATTGGTATTTTAATTTGCATTTGAGAATTTAATATTTAGTTGAGTTTTTGTTAATGTTATAAAATTAAAATAGTAAAATAAAAAAAAGTGATATAATAATTAAAATATAATATGCACATGTGTTTAGTGTCTTGGACTCTTGATTGATGCATTATAAATAAAATTATGTGATATCTAGGCACCCCGATATATTAATTGTAATATATTTTTTCATATACACTATTAAAATATACGTTTTCTTTTATGTATTTATATTAGTTGTGACTATTTAAGTCTTAAATTTAATATTATTAATATATTTGTGAAATTTGTATGAATTTCCTTAATATATCCATCTGTTTTTATATTTTTCATGTATTCATCCATTTTCAAAACGTATCTATTTTGTCATACGAATTTTTCTAATATGGTACCCTATACCCTATACCAATAAATCTAAGAACATTGAATCGTAATATTTGTTTACTGGACAGTCGACTGTGGAACTAGCGTGTATATTCAATCCTGCTGGCTCCTGTCCAATAATCGTTGGAAGCTCTCTTAAGTCCTATCACGAAACCCCTAAGAATCTTTGATCAATTCAGTAACAGGGTGCACTGTCTGCAATAACAGTTGTTTCGTCTCTTATTTTGTATGTGATGATCCAATTGATCATCGCATCGCTTGACATCGATTAAGTAAAAACTCTCAACCAATAAGAGCCGTCCTCCTTCGATCATTGTCTTGGACTTTGGAGGATGGGCCGTCCGGTCTAGCTCCTCATCCATTTGGAGCTGGAGGTGTTGTTTTTCATTTGCTAATCCAGATTCCACATGTCCAACAAAACACGTTCCAACACCCATCATCTGACACAATACATCTCGTACATGAGGGATCCAACTTTTATGATGAGTCTCAGTTTGAACTTTGATGGTGAGATGTGCGGTGTCGGATCAAGTTGATAGGATGTTGGAACGTATTTTATTGGCAGGCGATCCCAACTCATTTGGAGGTGGGGTGGCCCAACAGACACTACGGACCCCTCAGTACATTGTTTCAGGAAATATCTCTTCGTCTGAGAGAAAATTAGAAGAAGAAGAAACAGAAACTTTCACTAAATCTTCCTTTTTCTACCTTTCTTTCTAATGCAAATATAAAAAGAGAGAAAGAAAGAAAGCGTGCAAGTAACCTTACTTATATCACTGTGACTGTCACTATTGGGAGAGCGCTCTCTCTCTAGATCCCTCTTCTCTCTCTCTCTCTATATATGGAAAGTATTTGCCTATATATGCTTACAAGAGGGGAACTCTGTAACCTTTCTGTCATCACTCATCAGTGCTGTTTGACTAGGTGCAATTTGTAATACCGCATATAGCAACAAATCAAGAAACGTATGGAATTAAGAACCCTGCTAAAACGCCGATGAGACCCAAGTTTGGAAGAAAAAGTTTGTTTCTCTGTTAATTAAACGGTAACACGTGAACCAGTCAAACAGCTGGTATCTGCTACCATTAACCGGCCCACCACTCCGGGAGGTGGAGGAGGACTAGGTTACGCTTTACCGGTAGGGTTAGGGTAGCTATAGGGTGGCAAGGAGCTGAAAATGCTGGCCCTTTTATTGGTTGCCGTATAATGACTTACCTCCATTTACATGATTTCTTGGTTCATAAATGACAAGGCTTTTCCTGTACGGTTGGTTCTAAACAGTTAAAAGGTTGTCTTAGTAGCTCTATTTTCACTCCTCACTCACCTTTTTCTCTGGCTTCTTTCAAGTTTCAATCCATCGTAGTCAAAGCCCTTGTTCCCGAAAAGCAAAAAGTAAAAATAAAAAAAGTGTTTTAATTTGTGATTGTAATGACTAATGAAGCCCCACACGATTTAGTTTTTTATTTACTTCTGTTTATATAAAGCCCCCCCCNCCCGTATACAAAATAACAAGCCTTTCGTTTTCCATACAGCTACGTACCAATAGCCAGCTTTAATGGGGAGCAAGCAATTTAATTAAATAAAAAAAATGGCAACCATCTAGCTAGTTCTGATGTGGATTCTCCCCATTTGTTTTCCTCTTCATGTCTTGTTCTTTTCAGTTTTAACTGCTTCTCTGCTTCTCTTCTTCTGCGCTCAGACCCACAATCAATTTATGTTACCCTTTATCACCTTTCACATTTCATCGCAATTAAATATAGATTCCACCGGATCTCTCTCGTCTACAGTACTAAATCCTGTTTCTTCCTCAGTTGAAGCTACGCAAGAACAAGAAAGAAAACGTAACCTAACCTTTGGTTTCTAGTCACTCTCGGTTTCTTCATTATTTCTGCTAGCTTTTCATTGTTTTCATGGTTAGATGAAATGAGATGGTCCGATGACCATGAGTATAGTGAGCTCAGATCTGATCTACACCGCTACGGTAATTCTTACAGTTCTCCATCTCCTTCCTCTTGCTCCAGCTTCTTGCGTCGATCCACAGCGGCCTTTGCTCCCTCCTCGGGCTCAGGTAAGCCGATTTGCAATGCTTCTAGTTTCTAATTCATTCATGGCGGGTTCTCATCTTCTTCGACCTCGTAAGTTTGTTTAATGGAATTTGCATCTCTGTGTGTACTTGTACCGTGTAGGGCCTATTGACGGAAGAGAAAACGAGGTTGGGTTCGACACCGCCGAGTTGCCATAATAAGTGCAACGAGTGCCACCCTTGCATAGCGGTTCAAGTGCCTACTGTGCCTGGTCACAACCGAGTCAAGCCCGGTTTCTGGAGAAAGATTCCTATGGAGTTGGAATCCTACCCATCGACGACGGGCATAAAGTACGCCAATTATAAGCCGTTAGGCTGGAAATGCCGATGTGGAAATCGACTCTTCAATCCCTAGCAGATAGCGTTCATGCCCGAAAATGGCTGTGACCTGTGAGCTGCTTTTTTCATCTCAGAGCGAGAAGACGTGATCATGAATCTGTAAAATGTGATGTAACCTTCCTCTAAATGGATTTATCTTCTTCTGTGTTTGTTGTTTATTTTTTGTTAAAATATATATATATATATATTTATATATTAATTTCTTGGATTGGATCATTGGATGGGGTCGTCGCTGTGTTCTTTGAGAGACAACATACAAGCAAGCACATTTAAGTATTTAACTCGATGGGCATTTATTGTACTTTGAATCCCATTGATATATACTGTAAAAAGCTGCAACGAGCGTACTGTGTCTCATTTAAGTGCGTCCTATATATGTTCTATCCTTCTGCCTTTACTTTTCTAGCTTTTCTGTGACTGTGAGAGAATGTATTTGTATGAAGCATGAAGTGCGAACTCTTAAGCATCTCCCTTCGATTTCATATTTTGATTCCCTTGCACTCTTGGGATTTGCTGCCCTCGCTGTACAACATCTCTCTCTCTAACACACTTACATAGTGAATGTACGTCTACTGTGAGCGTATATACTTCAATTAAAGTACATACTGTGAAAGAACCATCATGTCGCTTCATGCATGCTACGATGTATTACATTCGTCACAGATCATCATTTTGTTTTTGAAGATTGTGCAGGGAACCATGGAAGAGGGTGCCGGTGCGGTGGAGCATCCAAACAATTGGGCCCTGCCTCAGCCCTCAGGACTCAGGAGACATTATAGAAAGATTGAAGGCCATGGTTGGGTTGGGTTACCCGGCCATAGTCTGACGTGGATAAATTCATAGTCCAGTGTCAGATCACGACCGATGATGTGTAATGTAAGCACGTCCTGCCCTGTGTGGGTCCATGGGAGATTTGCACTTACACATCATTCACGAGCTCATAATTAAATCTGCTTTTGCAAATTGTTGGGCTACATCTGGTTCTGGATAACAGGATGGATATAACATATAATTTTGCTGAAAAGTAAAGGTAAGGTATATCTGGCAAGCCTCAGATTTTAGGCCAACGGTCCTGATTTAATTTGCCACGTGCTTACTGGTCACATCAGTCGTCAGATCACGGGTGACTGTTTCTCATTTTTCAAGACTGAGAATACGTCGAAGGCCGGACAAATTCTTGAGCTGAATCCTCGGCTGGACCACCACACCTTGAATCGTTTTCCGGCAGCATCATTTATTATGTATGATGTCTCAGTCTCAGAAGCATGCAGCCTACGTAATAGGCGAGCTCGGTGATGTTTGTTATCAATTATCATTGCCCTTTCAATACAACGGCCATCCTTAGGAGTCCTGGTTTGGTGCCCAGTTAAGCATAATTAGGTGGCATATAAGCAAAAAAAAAAAAAAAAGAAAAAAAGTGGAAACATTGTTTCCCCGAAAGTTGATCGATGTTGCTTGAAATGCTTAAAAATATACAAATAAAAAAAAAAAAGAAAAACATGGAGAAAGCACCAACATTATGGACGGCCAAATGTTAGACAATTGGACAACACAGACTGGGTTGGATCCGCTTGAGGCCAATCCCAAGTGTGAAAAAATGTAACCCAGGCTTTGAGTTAAAAGTCTAATTCTTCCAATTGCTAACAGGTGCATGGACGACCAACCTTGACCGTTCTTTCTTTTCAAATTTTCAGGTATCGACAACGATTTAATTTCCGTAATTTTTTTTTTATGATCTGTAAAAAACCAAGGCATTTATTTAGTATTTACTTTCCTAGTAATTAAGCAGGTGTTTTTACACATGGAAATTTTAAATTATAAAAATTATTATTATTATTATTAAATTTTGTATTTCATTCACTACAAGAAATTTCGTTTTAACCGGCGGTCTTGTGTAATGCCAGCAAATATAGACAAATTCGCAAATAATTTAAGCTGCTTAGAGGCCGGCGGTCAGATTTGAACTATAATAGATCACGTAACCGCATGATGGGTCCTGGCATTTGTTATTTAGAAATAAAATAAAAAAATTAATAAATCTAAATTGGTTTAGCGGGTCCCGCCAAAACGGATAATCGCGCCAAACGAGGGGTTCGTTAATACCAAACGACGAATCCCTCGCTAAAAAACCTTGAGTTCCTGTAATGCTCTTCTTTCTTCTTCGAGCTTTCTTGCTTATTTTTCTTCCTCCAACGATTCAAAGCTTTCTTATTTCACTTCTTCCACCGATTCAAAGGAAGTCACAACCACGAACAGTTGAAGCGTCCTCCACTGATTCAGAGAACTATAAAGCCAGCCACGAACAGAGGTTGATTTGAATAGTCGATCGATTCAGAGAGATCGATTTGAAAAGGCGAACCTGTGAAAACCCCACCGATTTGAAGCCAAAGTGTTTGCCTTGAAGCCAGAGATTAGAGTTCAATCGAATACATACTGTTTTGCTCCTGGTATCCGCTCCTGGTAATCGAATACATACTGCTTATTTATTTGGTTAATTATGCTTTTATTTATTTAGTTGTTTAATCCATATTGTAATAGTAAATGTCTTCATCTTAATTTATTGGTTTATTGTGCCATTTCCTTTTTGGTTATTGGGAATTAAATTTTGGGGATTAGTTTGGTTTAGTATACTAAATTACTAATAAGATTTCTGTATGATCTAGGGATTAATTTCTCTGTTATATATGTTTATTGTCCTCCTTCCACACAATTCTCAATACATGGAAAATGTTTATATATGCATTTCACTGATCAACGGTCATCACCTAATTTCCATGTAGCAAGTTTTAATTTAAGAACTAACCCCAAAATATCAAAAAATGTAGATGAGGTGTTTTCTACACCTTTATTTTCATATTTAAAATTCAAAGAAAAAAACAACTATTATTATTAGGAAGAAGAAACTCAAGAAGTGCAACTGATAACTACGTAAAGTTTATGTGAAAATTTATTGTGAATGCATTGTACTTTCTTAGAGTTTCAGGTTGCTGCCTTGGTTATATCAGACACATACACAAAAGAACGCTAGGATTCATAATTGTAGTTCAATGGTTCAAGAGTTTGATTGAAGTTGTACAGGTTTAAGTCAGAGATTCATAATTCGAGTCTTTCAGTTCAGCAATTCCTATTTGTGAGGGGATAATAGTCTTTCAGTTCAGCAACCTCTGAGTTGCTATTCTGCCTAGTTAAAGACTTTATTATTCCTAAGGAGGCAGAATAGGGGTATCTCTGAGTTGCTATTCTGCCTGGTATATTTTGTTAGGTAACCTCAAGATGATGACGGCTTTGTAACCTGTTTCCAGCATACTTAGAGCCCATTTCAATCACCTAATAAGCTGCTGTTTGGGTGGGTAATGTGTCATATATAATTAATTTTTTTAATTTTTTTAAGATTCCAACATATTTCTTTAGGAGTTTGTGACTTCATAAACCATATTCTACTCTACCAATTATGATTTCTTGGCCATTATCAGTCATGACAAGTAACAAGCTTATAAATGTACACCAACCACATGGAGTCTTCAGTCTTCACTAGATGGTGAGTCTCAGGATATCTTTTTATCAGTAAAGAGTGAAAATTGCTAGCTAAGACAGAAAGAAGAATGATCATATTGCCTAAAACAACAGCAAGACAGAAAATGACCTCAAAAATCAAATTAAAAGAGAAACAACATATTAAAAACCCATTCCCAAGGATTGTTTTTTGAGAAAAATTAACTGAATTTATTAAAAGCAAGAGTACATGAGATAATGTACAACTAGAGCACAGACAACTTACGGAAACATATGTAGATTTCTGTCACTATACATATCTTCCCTGTATGCAGCAGATTTTGCCAATTGATCAGCTATAGAATTTAGTTCCTTAGGAACCCAATTAAGGTTGACATGCAAGGAACCCAAGATGTCTCTGGCCTCTGTCAGATAGTGGGCTAACCTCCAAGGACCTCCATCCTTCTCTCCTTACAGGTTGTTTTGAACTGAAAGACTTTATTGTTCCTATTTATTATCCCTCACTCCCTCCTTAAAAACTTTGTTATTCATATTCTACCTTTGAACTCAGAGGTTGCTGAACTGAGTCTAGCAATTCCTATTTCTTTTGATTGAAGTCAAACTGGTTTTAATTTTATTCCAGATTAAAGTCTTTCTAAATTTGAATAATTTTATTCCAGATTATCATGCCCATGTTTTCTTAGTTGTAAGTAACATTATACTTGGTCCAACCTCATGATCCAGCTGTGGCAACTTTGAATGGGAAAATTTGACTGTGACTACTGAACCTACAATATTTCTGCTAAATGCCAGGCTCAGGGATGTAGGACAGAATATCGGTGTGGACCCACAACTTGCCACCTGTCCTTTATTTTGAGCATTAGGAGCCACCATTGGATGGGTCTTACTTTAATATTGATTAGTCTGGACCAGATCTAATGTACAGGAGATCATAAATTCCCTGATTTTGTTGCATGTAATTGAATGGTAGGACAAGTTTCTCTTAAAATAGCATCTTTTCAAGTAGTGCTCACATGGGATAAAACTCATCTGAGTAAGCTGATTTTTGAAGCACCCGTTGTATACCGATTCATGTGTGGAAGGATAAGTTTATCCTTAGTCTTGATCACTGCTCAATGTTCTCATTTCATTTGCACTATCATACATCTGCACCAATAAAAATGGATTTGCACTGCAAAGAAACCATGCTTTAACATTTAAATATGCTAATACCTAAATATTTTGGTTTACCAATTTGACTAGTTGGCAACAGGGAATTTAGGTGGTTGACTAGGTGATGATTGAAGGAATTGGAGCTGGGTAATTAAGGGCTGAACTGTTTTGACATATGTTTTGATTTGGGGTTGTTGAATAAATAGGCGTACTGTGATGGTGCATAGGGCTAGAGTTCAGTTTTTAATAACAAAACATTGTACACAGAGATACAACAAGGTCCTCTCCAATATAGGGCTGGATCAGAAATACAACAGAACACATACACCACAGAGACTCACTCAAATTACACACTCCAAATGGATTGAGAGTTGAGCAGCTCAGCACATTCAGGTGCTTAAATTTAGGATTAGCAACCACCCAAGAAAGCATTAGATATAAAGTCCTAGTGATAGGTAAATGGCATATTTGTAGTGAACTATCAAGGTCATGTCAGCCTTAATTGGGTTTGGCTTGATTTTTTCTTCAAGGCAACTCTAGTTTGGCTCATGGCTGGAGCAATAGTAATTGTATCTTTGCAACAATTGAAAGGGTTCCTTATGGTCAATGGATACTTCATAGAAAAATGAATTTAGGGAAAAATGCATTAGTTTGTAAGATCTGGAGAAAACTTGTGAAAATGTATATATGAGTTTCTTAGTCTCTTTCTTGCAAAGAAGAGATTTTTAGCACTATATATCATAGGTAGGTAAATGCTTTCTAATCATTGTATAATTCCTTTCATCGTCATTAGTAGATTGCCTAAGGAATTTTCTAACAACAGCTTCAAGTTGCTCAAACGTGCCTCCTCCCCATAACTGGCTCCAATACCAGTTTGACAAGAGCTAGAGTCACCAGGGGCCCTGGGTGGCTCTTCTTTTGAGTGCTCTTGGGTTTGGGTCCCAGTTTGATGTATGAACTTAGCTCTGAAATGAAGCAATAACAAAACAAGAGGGAAACTAGGAGAGTTGATGCAGTAAAATCTTCAAAAGAAGGGATTCTCAATAAGATATTTGGAAAGTCAAATTCAGATAAGTGTACTTTTGTAGATAACAGAAAATTGTATATGCATCTTATGCCTTCCTTGTTTCAACAATTTTGACTTCATTTGTTTCATGATAGTAATTTACTAATACTGTCAAATAAAATAGGAGGTTACCTGGATGATTCATGAAAATCTTTTTCAACATGTAAAATGAGTTTCAAATGCTTCCACTAATAAAGAAAGCCAAGACACAAACTTATGCTATTTGTTATTATTTGGGCCATGACAAAATATTATTATGTGCAGGCAGGATATGTTGGGGAAGATGTGGAATCCATATTGTACAAGCTTCTTAGGGTAACTTTCAGACTACCCTATTCAAATAGTGTAGATTCCTGTAGATGGGATTTTTCCTGCTTTTTTTTTATCAGTAACAAATCATGGACTTTATTAATTAAAAGGACACTTGTTTGCATAAAAAACCTACATTCTAAGTTTCCTTACAATTATAGATTGAAAATACAATTACTTGTGCTGTTATTTGCTACATGTCTTACAGTATTTTCAATTTTTTTATCAGTAACAAAAATTAGTATTTAATTAGTAAACAAAAGAAATAAGTCTTCCTTCTAATTGGATTGGAATGAGGGCAGGCAGAACCAGCCTAGATCTGATACAAGACCTCCACTTATAACAGTACCACTTTATTACAAAATCAATCTATCCACCCCTAGACCTGCTGATCCCCAACACAATTCATTATGCTGATTCCTGCCCCTTGCTAGTGTATCCACTAAACTCCACCAATCTGGGAAATGAAATTTAACAATCAGTTCATATGGGTTGTCAGGATCATTGTTTTCTTATCAATTGTTGTAGGARCCACRRTCCCTCATTCATTGAGGATGTCTACCCAATTGCCACTCTACGATCACCTTCTAAAATCAGTTCTGTTCAATGTGATGTGAGTCCAAGTTTTAGTCCTTGCAAAAGAGCCACCATTTAAGCTCTTTATGAGCTTCCTACCAACACCAGATTTCTATAAATGAGTAGGATTTTTTTTACTACACTTGCAATACCTGAAGGTTCTGGGTTGCTAAGGCTGCAACCTTTGAAGTTAAACTTTGATCTTCCCAGCCATGCCTTGCCCATGTGGCATTCATTTGTTGTCTTCTTCATGCATATCCAATCTTTGTGACCCATCCATCCTTTAATCAAGGAGTCCATGTGACTCCCTTGAATTTTTCCCTTGTCAATTCCCAATGTGCATATCCAATCATTTGTTTAGGCTCAGTTTGGAAAGAAAGCAAATACAAATATGTACAATACAAAACCTTGTAAATTGCATTTCTAAACTTTGTATTTGCATTGTACATATTTGTATTTGTACTCTTTCCAAATCAAGCCTTTTGAACAGGAAGGGTTCTTTCTTTCTAGTTTATTTGATAATACCAATGATTAGTTGATAATTCTGTACACCCAGGAACTCAAAGCACAAGGTGTTCCAGAAGATCAGCTAGAGCTTCTTAAGGGAGTGAGTGGAGCTTTCAGGCCAGGAGTCCTTACAGCTCTTATGCGTGTCAGTGGTGCTGGTAAGACCACTCTGATGAATGTCTTAGCTGGGAGGTTGGTGCATTTGATGCCTTTGATGAGGTGAAACATGTTCAATTCAAAAAAAAAAAATCAGTAGGCTATACATGAGTTAACCAATATTTATAAATCAATGCACTTCTATTGAAGCAAGGAGGAGAAGAAATATATGTGNGGTTGGTGCATTTGATGCCTTTGATGAGGTGAAAAAAAAAAAAAAAAAAAAAAAAAAATCAGTAGGCTATACATGAGTTGACCAATGTTGGAAAAAACAGCTACTTCTATTGAAGCAAGGAGGAGAAGAAATATATGTGGGACCATTGGGACGCCATTCTTGTCATCTAATCAAATATTTGAGGTGAGACATTAAGCAGAAATAAGGCTGTAGATACGAATGGTAGACTTTTTTCTATTTGAATGAATATATCCATCATCAGGTTCCCACCAATGCCTATTTATCTTCATAATGGTAGAAACACCATTACATATGAATGGTAGATTTTTTTTCATCCAAAAAAAATGGAAATGGTAAATTTGTATCAATAGATATCTATTTGGGAGACCTTCCCTTGAGCAACCCCAGTCTTATATAAATAGTGACAATAAAGGATTGGGTTTGTAATGCAGGTGTGCAAGGAACGAGGGATCAAATTATCTCGAGCCTTAGCCGCTGCTGGATTGATTGCCGCACATTCATCTACTCAGATGCCTTTCCTTGCTTGGTTGAGATATATTGTAGCTTCACAGGCTTAAGCAGTGGCTTTCTGAAAGCATCACCATGATGGGTGTGGAAGTCAAAGATCAGGGGAAGAAGGCAGTGGCAGTCAAAGATCAAAGGAAGAATAAATTGTCACAGATCAATAAATTGTATTTTAACAATTTGTTTTCGATATTATAATGATTAATCTTTATATTAATAGATTGAGTTTTACATTTAAACTTTTATTTAAGTTGTTTAAGTTTCCATATATCAATTTGCCAGAGTGTATTATGTATTATAGTGGTGGATCAATAAAGTGCAGATATAAAAATATATTGAAAATAACATATCATAAAAGAAAATAGTGATCAAAGCCGACGGTCACCTAATAGCCGGTGTAGCTATACATAAGGCTTAAATGGCGACTTAAATATGACCTAAGCCGGCGGTTCAGGCCACCAATAAAATGAGCAAGACAATTTTGCAAAATTTAGGCCGGCGGTCCAGCCCGTCGCCTAAAGGAGTAGGCCAGTTTTTGACAAAACTAAAGTTGGCGGTTCCGACCGCTGCCTAAAAGAGTAGGCCAGTTTTTGACTAAACTAAAGCCGGCGGTTCCGACCGCCGCCTAAAAGAGTAGGTCTTATTTTTACCAAAACCTACGGCGGCGGTCCATGGTGTCTACACCAGTGGTTTAAACCGTCGGCACACATGTACATTGAAAATCATGCCGACGGTTTGCTTTTACTTGTACCGGCGATTTGTAATGCTGGTATTTATAATATATTTGAAAATTATAAATTTATTTTTTTACTTTATCGACAGTTTATGACTGCCAGTATAGTATAGGATAAGCCGACAATTTTGACAAAATGTCGGCAATACTTAATTTAATAGTCCAAATTGATGCCACCTAGCCGGCGATTTCGTATAGTTTTGTCGGTGGTCATGAGTTTCCCCGACGGTGGCTATACTAGGAAAGAAAGGCCGCCGGTAGATCGCCGGCATTGGTCAATGCCAGCGGTCATGTATGTTTTTTTTGTAGTGATTTCTATAAAAAATAAAAATAATTTTTATTTTAACAATTATTTTTATTTAATATGATGGATATACAACATTAGAAATGTTCCTAAATGTTTTCAACAATATTCTGTACTTTTTCATTTCTTGTATTTCATCTTTTTTTTTAAATATTTATTATTCAATTATGACATCATGAATTTCTTTGAAAAGTTGGATCATTGACCCATCATCTAGATAATAATATATCTTTGCTTTCTAATCAGTTTTAAATTATATATTTCATATATATCATATAAATAATTATGTATCACACTTGATTTTTGCTTGACAAAGTTAATATATAATTTTTTATATTTTGATTACTTGTACTTTTTTTGTTTTTCTAAAGATTTATTATTTAATTATCATATCATCGATTAATCTATTTCTCCCAAACCACTAACCCACCACCAAAAAGGAAAAATACTTTGATTTCTAGGTTGACTTTAAATTTTGTATTACATCTCCATCATTGATAAAATTATGTCTTGTGTATAATACTTATTTCTATTCAATACAATGAATGCATAATATTAGAGATGTACCCAATATTCTATTTTTTTTATAAATATATAACATTAGATATTTGCCCAAAATTTTCTCTATTTTTTTATTTTAGTGGTTCATTGTATTTTCTATTTTTAAAAACTTTATTATTTGGCTATGACATCATTTATTCCTAGGTTGATTTTAAATTTGGTATTTCATTTTCATCATTAATAAAAATACTTCTTACATTTCATGCTTACTTTTGTTTAGTATAATGAATATACAATTATTAGAGATATGCCTAATTCTTTTTTTGTATTATATATTTTATTTATTTTTATTTTTTATTATTCAATTATGGCATTATTTATAAACCCATTTGACCCCAAATGGTTGAATATTTGAATTTCTTACCCACCACTAGGAGAGAAGAAAATGGTTTTGTTTTTAAATTACTTTTTAAAATATTTATTTTTATACTATTCAAATTAATATTGTAGATTTAATTAGTAGAATTTATTGATAAAAAAATATATCTTAAATATAGGATTTAATGAGAGAGAATAAGAAAATAGTTTTATTTTCAATTGATTTTAAATTTTACTTTCAATTTGCACCATTAATAAAAATATTTATTATTTATCATACTTATTATTGTTTAATATGTCGAAAATATGATGTTAAAAATGTTTTCAATTTTTTTGAATTTCAATATTTTTTCCATTTTATCTATTATTGAATTTTATTATTTAATTGTAACAACATGGATTGACCCATTTGACCTAAAATGGTTTAATTTCTTACCACCACCTAGACGAAAACACTATTTTTTTAGGTCGATTTTAAAAGTATAAGATTTTATGTTATTGGAATTATTAGTTTATTATGTATGGATTTAATTAATAGAATTTAATGATGGGAAGAAACAAAAATGCCTTAAATATATGATTGAATGAATGTGAATGCAAGTTAATACCTTAAATGTTGGTGGATTTAATGAGAGGGAATTGAATGCATTGAATATTTTAAAATTACCTCTTTTCAACTCATTTAAAATTAATAAAAAATTACCCTATTTGCCCTCATTTTTTTATCAATAAATTTAAATATGGAGGGATAAATTTTGTAATAAAAAAATTCTAGAATATTTTTGAAACTAATGTACTTTTTAAAGTAGTATAGATATAGTATTAGTGTAAGGGTAGGTGTGTAAGTAAATAGTAAAGATATAAGTTGAAATTATATAACACAAAACACTCATATCGTATGTACTCATTAGTATACATAGTATAATGCTTCTTCATAAAGACCATGAAGCTTCTAGTTAGAACATTTGCCATATTATATGGAGAAATTTCCGAACATCATAATACAACATTGCCTGCTAAGGTGGTGTCTATGCCGATGAGCTAACTAATATGGCATTTACTCAGTTGAGATATAATCTTATGATAGATGTATGGAGCTTATACTCAAAGATTCTGTATGTGTGTTTTGTGTTATAATAAGATTTCCTTAGGCTTAGTTTGGAAAGAGTACGAATACAAATATGAAATATATAAAGTATAAATACATACAACATAATATAAATACAATGTTTTGCACTCTACACATTTATATTTGTACTTCTTCCAAACTGAGGATAATGAAACTTAGTCCCCAGGCTTTCTTTTGAAATAAAGACATTTGGATTCCAAAACTTTGCCCCCTTTGTTTGCATTCTGTAGTCAACTTCGTAGAAGATTCTCATATGTATGTTTAAGCATGTCTGAAACCCCAAACTATCCTTGTTTTTATTTTATAACACTCTTTTATTTTCCTTTTTATCTAGAATTTTGTAAAATCGTATCTCTTACCTACTTTTCTCATTTTTCTCTCAATGGATTTATGTTGAGAACGATGGATTTTGTTTATTTTTTAAAGAGGGTTTGAAAGCATAGTAACCCATTCCAGCTCAAGTGATACTATGCTTTAGTATGCCAATTTTTATCATTTTAATAGAGGCAATACTTGGCTCCAACCACGTTGGAGGACATTTGTCCTACCACATCCTGATTTACTTTCAGATCTAAACCCTAAATTCTTAAACACTAAACCCTTAAACCCAAAACCCCTAAGCCCTAGCTCTAAATCTTACAGCCCTAAAACCCTAAAATCTAAACTCTAAACCCTTAAACCCCCAAACCCTAAGCTCAATACTCTAAATCCTTAAATCCTAAACCATAAGCCCCTAAACCCTATTCCTAAAACCCAAAATTAGTGTATATGCATGTACTCCAAAACATGGCAGGAGCCATCTATTTTTTTATTTTAATAGCTTTTGCTCTCCATCCATTGAATCTCTAATGGGTAATTTAATAATTTTACCTTTATCATTAACCTTGTCAAGGGAATAGGGGTTGCCGTGGAGGCTATCTATCACCACCCCTAATTTGTAATTTACCCTTTCAATAAATGTTCAACCTCAGTATTTGGATTCTCCACTCAAGGATATACAGTATATTTTAGGGAGAATGACTGTTCAACCCACCCGGTGGGATGAATCTCAACCATGTATTGATGCCAAATCCACGGGCAGGATATGGTTTATAAAAAGGGTTACTAATAGACTGGGGATTTTAATTTCAGATTTTTGCCGTGGAGTGTACTTCGGTGGTAGTTTCACTTTAGTATCCAAACTTTAAAATGTACCACTACAGTGTTTAAACTCTTGAAAACTGCCACTTTAGTCCTTGCTGTTAGCATTCTACCTGTTATCTGTCACACATGACATCATGTGATTTGAAACATTTCACAGTTCCAAAATTACCCTTAGGCTATGTTTCAAGAAAAAGGTAGGGAAAGG